AACCCAGTTCTTTCAGTCTTCCCTCATAGATCATGTTCTCTAGACCTTTAATCATTGTGTTGCTCTTCTCTGGACCCTCTCTAATTTCTCCACATTTTTCTTGAAATGTGGAGATTTTTTTCATCTCATTTAGGATATCAATTCAAACCTCATGCTGAAATTCAAAGGGAAATAATGAGGCTCATATATATCTTCTTACTGCCTATTTTAGAAATGGGCATCTATCTATCTGTCTGTCCACCTCTGAGTCCATTTGTTCCAGAACTCTTCCTAAACGGTAAGAACTAGGACCACCAAATTTGGTATGCAGCTTCCTGTTATGATAACTTAAAGCTGGGTAGGGCTTTGGTTGTGCCAGGACAATGGAATATGCCTGGCATTCAATTGTTTCTCATAAAATGGAAAGGGGGGAGGGTCTGAGAGGAGGGACAGTTATACTGTAGAATGACCACAAGGAGTAGCAAGGGGCCAGAGACATGGACTAGGACAGATTTAACACCATTGGGCCAGCAGGGGACAGGGATGGAGAAAGGGACAACTATCTATTATTTTTTCAGGGAGTTTATCTGTTTGTGTATCTGTTTGTGTTTCTGTCCCCTAGCTGGGGGACATGTATCCCTCTCCCAGTGGTGCCCGCTGCAGTTGCCATAGAGAGGCATTTCTCTCCTGGCCCCAAGCTGCTGTGGTGAGAGAGGGCTGGCGTTGCCCTTTCTCCACAGGGCAGCCTGCACACTGCACCCCTCATCCCCACCCCCACCCCAGAACAATGAGTTAAATGAAGAAAAAAAAATGAATTGAGGCAAGTACTTAAGCTACATCAGATCAATTTTCTTTATTTAATAAAACAATGCAATGGGTGGTGTGGACAGGTGTTCTTCTCCTTAGTGTTGTCATACAGCTGCCCTGTGTTTGTTGTACGCAACTCCCTAACACTGGTGGTTCCATGTACACCATACAGAGTGAGATTTTAGGAGCGCTATCCAGAAGAGACATGATCCAATCACCACTGAGGTCCATGGGGAGACCCACAGGAAGTAGTACATCAGACACCACTAGGCCAGGTTTAATAGAGAAAATTCATAAAATCCATTCAGTCACTTTTAGGTACTACAACTGCATTTAAAATATGTTAGTGTACCATATACCTCTCCAGTGGGCTATTTGATTTTTGCAGTGTATGATAGCAATGGCAAAAAAACCCCAATGTAATAAATGAGGTCCTCCAGAGATAGGATACCTTAGCATGGAAGGATGGGTAAATAATTGATTGGCAACCCTAATGGATGGGTTCAAGACAGGTAGCTGGCTTTATTTAAAAGCTTATTCTAGCATTTCACGTTGCTAATTCATTGGTGGGTCCCAGTTAGACAGCAGCTTGTGTCTGAACTGAACCTGAGCATGGAATAAGTCAGGGCTGGGCAAGATTTGGCCTGGAGGCCAGATCTGGCCCGGCTAACACTTTGACCCGGCCTGTGGACTATATCTGGCTGCTTTCTATTTATATCCTGTTGCCCATGCCACCAAATTTCTGGCAGGGCCAGAGCTGTGAGCCCTTTAAATAGCTGCAGCAACCCTGGGCAGCTGCCAGGCAATGCGGTAGTGGTAAAGACATGAGCTGCGAGTCCTTTGCTGTGTTTTTAATTCAAAGTCTCCAGCCACAAACAACATGGGGAATGGGGCGATAGTCCCCAGTCCCACACCTGCCACCCCAGGCTCCGCCCCTTCCAGAGGGTGAAGCCAGCCCGTAGCCATGTACCAAAATTCAAATGGCCCTCTTGCAAAAATTATTGCCCACCCCTGGGTTAAGGTCTGTCCTCAGGGGTAAATGTGATTTAAATGTGCATCTGTGGACTGTCCTCAGGGGCAAATGTGATTTAAATGTGCATCTGTGGAATGACAAGAGTTTGGATTATATCATTCGTCTGCCTGCAGCTCATTCCCAGACTTACCGGCAACTGAAAACAGAAGCAAGGTGCCTGTGTAGCAGTGTACAGGCCTCTTCGCGTTATGTCTTTTAGGTTTACGGTGTGTGTTAACTGAAGGCCAGGCAACATGACTTACTCCGCAGCTTATCTCTGCATGTCATGGGACATTTAGTAAGCTAAAGCCAAGGGCACATAAAGGTTTGCTTGCATATTGTACTGAGAGCAATCTTGGTTCTCCTTGTGCCCAGCTGTCTCACATGTTTACACATATTTGCAGGAGAGCGGGGGTGAGAAACACCAGATTTCTTGCCAGTTTCTTGGAAGCAAAGCACAGAAAGCAGGGCAAGCCAAGGAGAGACACGCACGTCCTATAAGGAGCACCCATGCTGCACAGTGCGTTTCTATTGCAGCCACTCCAATAACTGGTCTGGAGACTGTGGCACAGTGTTTATACACTCAATGTGCTTTCTTGGGGGGAGCTTAGGCCATTGGTCTGTGCCAGGATCTACACACCTCTGAATTTTGAGGGACTTCTGATGTGGTGGCTTGGACCCATCGCTTGTAGTGACTTGGGGCCCTTCTTTTCTGTGCATCCTCTCATGCTCCTGGAAGAAACGGTAGTAGGAGAGCTTGGAGACCACATCTAAAGGCCTTTTTGCTCACCTCCCTGTGCCCCTCCAAAACCAATAGCTATTATTTAACCACATCTCCCTCCCCCACTACACAAATGTAAACTTCAGATGTAAACTTTGATCATTCTCTAACAAAGGAAAATGAGAAGTTGGATTCCAAATTTGGACCCTGATTCTAATGGCGTAGCTGACCTACTTTTCTATATAGGGCCAATCCAGTATCCCTAAACTCTGAGGCTATGTCTAGATTGTCCCCTCTTGCAGAAGAAAATATGCAAATGAGGCAAAGTGGTGAATATTGCCACACCTCATTTGCATACTTAATGAGCCGCCATTTTGCGCAAGGGGCTTTTGCGCAAAAAAACCCTCTTGCGCAAGAGCCGCTCTGAAACTTTTTTCAGGCAGAATGGCTCTTGCACAAGAGGGGGATTTTGAGCAAAAAGGAGCTGAGTAGATGGCTCCTTTTTGTGCAAAAGCCCCTTGTGTAAAAATGGCGGCTCATTAAGTGTGCAAATGAGGTGCAACGATATTCACCGCTTCATCCCATTTGCATATTTTCTTGCTCAAGATGAGGTGGTCTAGAAGTAGCCTATGGTTTCGAAACCTGGATTAGGATTTTGCTATATAGGCCTATTTTTAAGGTAAAAATAAAAATTAAATGGGGGGTACATCTACACTGCAGTCTTATTTTGAAATAAACTATTCTGGAATAATTATTCGGAAATAATTTATTTCAAAATAAAGCGTCTACACTGCAGAGAAGCCTCAAAAGTAGTCCGAGTCAGGCTTCCCTAATGTAGACGTGCTATTTCAATTTAGAGTCCCAGGAAGCACTGAGGAGGAATAACTTAAAATGGCCCTGGTGCAGGGCTATTTCGAAATAGCAGTAGTGGAGTGTCTGTACATGCCCTGTTTCAAAATAGCTATTTCAAAATAGGCGTTATTCCTCATGGAATGAGGTTTACAAAAATAATCTGTTCACTATTTCAAAATAATGGAATAACTGTGTAGATGCTCACTTTGTTATTTCGGAATAATGCTAGTTATTCCAAAATAACGGTGCAGTGTAGATGTACCCATGCAAACCTGCTTTAAAAATATTCCAGTAAAATAAAACAGCCCCATTAATTATTCTTATTCTCATTCTCATTATTAAATATTTATTTCACAATCTGTAACAGCCAGCCCTCTAATCTTAGATGAGCAGTAGCGAGAAATGGACACACACTATATGAAATTATTATCCTTGTGAAACCTGTCCATGCCTGAGTTTATTACAATACTGATATAGTTTGTCGTGTCAGTGAAGTTATTGATACTGAAATTTCCATACAGCCAATTACTAAAACATACTTAAAGCATCACCTTTTAAAGGAGAAAGCTTTTTCCTCCCTCTCTGGTTTTCTCCTTATTGTCAAATTTGTTTTTGTTGCCTGTGAAAACAGAGCTGGAAGCATTGATTTATTTTTGCTTTTAAAAAGTGACTCAGTTTCTTTTTATGCAAACAAACAAAAACCTACATGCACACAATTTATATGAACTGTGTAAATCAGTTTAGAGACACTGTGATGGGGCATCTGTCCCACACTGGCCCTTTAAGGGTAAAAACTCAGCTCTGGGAGATGGTTGGAAGGGTGGAGCTGTGGAGCCATTTAGGTATTAGCCAATTAGGACCCAGATGAGGGCAGTATAAATAAAGGCTCCTGGAGGAAGGAAAGACTCAGACTCATTCTTGCTTCAGTTGGGGAGCAGGGGGACCTAAGGTGCCAGGGACACTCCAGGCTTCCTGGATTAGAGCAGGGCTGGGGAAAGGCTGGGGAAGCTCTGGCCAGGCAAGCTCCCAGGCTGCAGGGCCTGAAGCAAGGCCTGACACTACTAGGGCTGCAGAAAGGCAGCCAGGGTTGGCAAAGGCAGCAGGTCTACACCCCTTTGCCAATGATGAGAGGCCATTTCAGACTGCAATTTGCCCCGTGACAGGAGCTCAATGAAGACTGGCAGGGGGTCACTGAGGCAAGGTGGGTATAGGGAGTGAGGGGTTCACAGAGGGGGAGGACCCCTGAGTGTGGGGGCACTGCAGCAGGGCATATAAAATGTCCAGTATTTCTGTTTTTCTTGGATGGAAGACGGGTGGGGACATTCTCCCCCTGCCACGTCTAGTGGGGGCAGGGGAGAACAGGGAATATTTAAAGGTGCAGTGACTTTTTTTTTTTTTTTTTTGCTCTACAAGTTTGGTCCCCTGTTTTGTTCGTTTCTTATTGCTCCACCAATCTTTTTCCTGCCATGTTTGGGGTGGGATTTTGTTTTGTTTTGTTTTTGTTTTGTTTAAATATCTGGCAACCCTACATAACACTGAGGTGCAGAAAAAGAGGTAACAGCGGGCGAGACACCAGCTGAAAGGGGGCACTCCAGAGCTGACAGATTCTGCACACTTTGTTTAGAATGAGTAGCACCTTACTTGACAATGGGGCGATGGGCATGACTTAGAATTAGATTTTCACCCTTACTCACATTGGCAAGCACTTATTTACACAAGTAATTGTGTAGCTGTGCGTTTGCAAGGGGGCAATCTGGCTTTAATCGATCAATTTGAATTCATGGTGTAAAGGGCTGTACAAAATGTAATCAAAACAGATCTGACGAAAGGTTAGTCAAATCCCATGTATCCTGAAAGACAACATGTTATCTGCCCAAATCATTTTACTCCACCATTAACAACTGAGAAGAATTCCTGCTAAGCATGAGTCAAACTCACTAGAAATTGCAAACCGATTTGAGCATAATCAAATCCCCCCAACATCTCACTAGCCTGTCGATTCCTGTGTTTTGATCTTTTTGCATGTATGTACCTTTCGGGATGAGGATTTCAAAGTAATTATTGAACATTCTCCAGCTAAGTTTTGCCCACCCCCACAGATAAAACAAAAGTATGTTAAATAGGTGGATGTCATGGAAGTAGCATATATTTTGTCTATTGCACTCATGTTGTATATTCACCCGAATAGAAGTGTCTTCATATGTAATGTGTGCAAATATATAAGGTAGCCTCATCATATATGGAATATGTATCCTACTGTTTCTTCCACCAGGGAGAGGCACAGTCACCCCTTGGATAAGGTCACTTGCTCAGTAGAGACAGTGCATGACGGTGACTGTTGTAATTGGGTAGACCCAGGTGATGCAAGAAGGTGAATTCTGAGCCATTCACAGCAGCACAGGAAGATCACGCGGGTGTCAGATTCAAGTGGGAAACAAAGTCCACCTTGAGATGTTGCCATTGGTCAAAGTCAGAGCTGGGAATGTCACCCAATCGCCCTACAGTCCCGTGCTTTTCTCCAACCAATAGGCAGCACTCCATTTATATAACCTAATTCCTATTTCTGCCAATAGCACATGGACCAAAATAGTCTTGGTGTTTGGGCAACATGCTGTATTTGAATAGAAGTCAGAGTGTTGCAATAAGCACTCTACAGTGCGGCACCCAGGGCCACCGTGTCTCTGATGGGCTGCTCGGGAGCTTGATGGCATGCTGGTGCTCCATCACATTCCAGACTTGCACTGAGGTTGTGGGGAAGACGCTGCCCATCGCAGGGGGATAGGTGGTAATTTGTGACCGGACGTCGACGTACGGCAAAAGCAGAAACTGGGGGCTTTTTATAAGAAACAGTGTAAACACTGTTCATCACTCCAGCCTCTTTTTGGGTCCATTTTTTCATTAGTTGCTCAAAAAGGCCATAGTTGGTGGGTGGTTCTGGAACAGAAAATGATTAAATGTCATAAATTGCAGCAAGGGAGGTTTAGGTTGGACATTAGGAAAAACTTCCTGCCTGTCGGGGTGGTTAAACACTGGAATAAACTGCCTAGGGAGGTTGTGGAATCTCCATCACTGGAGATATTTAAGAGCAGGTTAAACAGACATCTATCAGGGATGATCTAGATAGTTCTTGGTCCTATTGTGAAGGCAGGGAACTGGACTTGAAGACCTCTCAAGGTCTCTTCCAGTTCTAGTGTTCTATGATTCTATAGTGGTAGAAACAAATTCGCTAGGCTTTTCTATTACATAGGACACCTGGGGTAAATTCAGAATTTTGTGACAACAGCAAAGACACAATGCAGACCCTCTTCCTCTAAATCCAGAGACTTTTCCTCCTCGACTGGAAGGAGGAGCACTGCTAAGTGTCGACAGCGTAGGAACTATGACACACAGGTGAGCAGTTGCAAGCCCATCCAGTAGAGAGCAGTGGTATACATGCACACCCTCTCCTACATAGAGAAGTTAGTGGAATTGCAGTTAACATTTAAATCCATAGTTCACAATATTTTTGGGTAACTGAACCTATTTACAAGAATATGGATAACATTTTCTAAAGCTCCTAGCTGACTTAGGAGACAAAGTGACACTTAATGAGACTTAGGCTTCTAAGGTCCAGAGCCTCAAAAGTATTTAACCACCTAATGCCCATTCCTACATCAAAATGGCGTGTAAGCATTTGAGTCACTTAGGCCAGGTCTACACTAAAGGGGAAAGGTTGAATCAAGATATGCAACTCCAGCTACATTAATTACATAGCTGGGGTCAACGTACCTTGATTGAAGTCTCCCTGCCATCCTCACAGAGGAAGGCCAATGAAGCAAATGCTCCCATCAGGTTCCATTACTCATCACAGATGCAGGAGTACCAGCAGCCGATGGGAGTGTCCTCTGATTTCAATTTAGAGGGTCTTAACCAGACCCACTAAATCAAACTGCAGAAGATCAATCTTCCCCAGAGGGTAGACATGTCCTTAGAGACTTTTGAAAACATTGCCTGGAGAATACAAGTGTATTAAGCAGGTGCCTATTCAATGCTAAGCACTTAAACTCAGAATGAAGCCGGGGTACTTCAGCCCCCAAATTCAGGAATTTCCTGATTTTTCTAACCGCTTGATAAGACTTTGATGACTTTATGCTTATGCAATGGGAAATGAACAGAAAGCCCATCTTATCTTATCTGTTCATAACAGTACTCAGTCTGAGGCACTTCCAGTCTTCAAAGAATCTTACAAACAATAGGTCAGATTCTTCTAGCAGGTAGATTGTTTTCATTGGGAGTTGTACTGTTGCCCATGGGAGGCCCATTAATTAAACTTTACTGCTCTCCTCTGTGGTGAATACAGGCAGTCCCCGGGTTACGTACAAGATAGGGACTGAAGGTTTGTTCTTAAGTTGAATTTGTATGTAAGTTGGAACTGGTACATATTGTAGGGGAAACTCTAGCCAAACATTTCTCCAGAGCTCAGTTTTATTCTCCCACACCTCACTTCCCTCAGTCCTTTATTCTCAAGCTGAGGTGTCTGCTGAGAAAAACTGCTCCGCGTCTCCCTGGTCTGCTGGGGGGGAGGTGCTAGTGCGGGGTTGCCTCACCCCGTTTGTAAGTAGGGATCCAATGTAAGTCGGATCCATGTAACCCGGGGACTGCCTGTACATATTATTATTATTTTCCATTTTACAGATGGGAAAGCTAAGGCACAGAGTGACCAGCCTAAGGGATACAGCAAGCCATTTGGAGGAGCAAGATGACCACTAGCCCACACTGTTTCCCTGGGAGTGACAACCAGGATAATACTAAAAAAGTACCGAAAATAGGGAAATCTGATTTCTCTGGCAGCCAGGCTAGCTTATGTCGATTCCATCTGCGGACCGGAGGCAATGCAGGATTATAGCCATGTCTGTTGTAATGATCGTCATACTGATTGACTAAATTTCGGTTACTCGGTTCTTCATGATGCGTTAACAGGTGCTGCTTTGGCAGGCCCTGTAAAGAGAGGGGCAGGAAACCGTATTGCATATACCCGGGCAGAGCATTTCAAAGGTGCTGGAAACTTTTAGGTCAGATTGCACCTCTGACAAAAATGGGTCAGACCTCAATCCCCAATACACCCCTGCTTTTGCCCTCGTGCATATTTAGCAGCTTTGCACACAACCTGCATTCCGGCATTTGCAAGAGCAAAGGCGTATTCCACTTTTTTTAAAAAACCCTGATCCTCATATGCTATGTAAGTATTTACTACAGGTGAGAACACCCAGAGGCACGTATGTGGAGGAAATAATCAAAGGGTCTGAGGATGGAGGGATTTTGCAGAAAGAGAAGGTGGTGTTTGGGGAGAATCCAAACATTTAGGAGTGTCTGGGTTCCATTTTGTGCGCAATCCTTCCCTGTTTCACGTGGGTGCGTCTTGGCGAGAAGAAGACACAGAGAGCCTCTTGCATAAGCACTTCTGTGATGCGGCAGCGTGAGAACTGCTCCAAACACTGTGTGTGGTGGGGGTGCCCTCCTTAGGGAGTATGTCCTATCCCCCCTGCACACATGCTGGGGATAACAACAGGAACTGGGGGAAGCAACAAGAAACACTATGGGATGTGTGTTGTCCCTTTTTGGCAAGCCAGCATGCAGGATGGCGCTGGGGGCCTTCACTTGGTCACTATCACTTCTCCTGGATATGTGGACACACACACATCTGGGCAGGATTTCAATCTTAAATTTAATGCAGGTTGGACCTCTATAATCTGGACTGGGCCAGAAGTGCACCTGGGCAGTGGGCTCTGCAGCCACCATGCCTCTTCCTAAAAGTGTTTCCTCCCCGCCCCCAAGTCCCTGCTTGGTCAATAACAGCTCCTCTTCTGCCACTGGAGCAGAGCCCCATAGTTGGCAGCAGCAGAAGGGCCAGGCCAGTCCCAAGCATGCAGGACTAGGGAGATACAACATGTACGCGCCTGTTCTGATTGCTGACATTTACCCTATTCAATCTGAGGTCTTGTGGATGTAGCCACTTAGGGTGTGTCTAAACTACATGGCGGCGTCGACAGAGTAAACTAGTTTACCCAACATAGTCAATGAAGCGGGGATTTAAATAATCCCCGCTTCATTAAAATAAAAATGGCC